CTTCTGTATGTAGGTTCGTCAATAAATCGATTGCACTTCCATCTCACAAGTAATGTACGTAAGTTGTGAGTCAGTTTTATTTTGATCGGATCTTTATCTATTAATATGTAAGTGTTGGTATCTGAAAGAATCGTCTCCATATTGGATACGTATACATCTTTGTCGAGAACCACAGTGACATTTCCTTTGTCGGCGTTAGTAATGAGTATATTTGGATGGTCGTTAATGAATTTTTTGGCACGTGTAGCAATTGTAAAATAAGTTTATCAGTGAATTTAAGAGAAGGAAAGTCATTAAAAAATCTGTTGAGAATGGGAACAGAATTGTTTCTGACAAAATTAGTTATATTTTTTGAGCGACCATTTAAATTATTTTCTATGTGTTTAATGAATTCGATTAAAGTTTTCTCTTTATTATCTTTGTTTATAGGCAGACCAAATTTTTCACCCAGTTGTAATAAATACTGAACCTCCAAAGGAATGTCAGAGCTACTCAAGTTGACAAACCATTTTTCATGTAATGTATCGAGAGACAGTGCCTCACTAAAATACAAAGGATTTATGTCGATTCTTTCAGAATCCACACCGGTTTGTGAGTAATTAGATATTGTGAGTTGATTAATACTGGAAGTGTCATTCTGACCCTTCGAAATCGAGCAAAAATAAGATATGGGTCTGATTTTTTATTTAATTGATTTTGATTTTTTATTTTTTAGCCCTTTTATATTTATCAAAAACAATAAAGGGCGAAGTAAGAGTCAATACGCAAAAAATTAGTCCGAAAATTGGTGAAACATAAAAGATTGAGTCAAATATAAAATGTCTGAATATAAAATATAAGATAACATTTAATTAAATAAATTGAGAAACACATTACAAGTTTCGGCTACCAGATTGAGCCCTCTTCAGATACCATTTTGCATGGATTTGATATACAATAAGTTCTTGTAAAAACGCATAATAAATATTGTTCGGATGTAAAATTCTACGCCGTTCACATACCATTCGTGGTCAATGATTCTTGAAAATCTAATCACAATACAATATAAAGTCACATTACAATATAAACGTATTTTTCAGGAAGATTTTTAAATTTTCATTCGAATCACCCAATTGCACAAAAGAAAGGCACAATTTTTTCGTTAGTCGACAGAGCTTTTTTACTTTCTGACTTCGCATTTCACAAGAAAAATTTAACTTTTATTATTAACATTTTACTAGAGAACGATTATCCATTGACATTCATTTTCAACACTGTTAATCAACGTATAAAAAATCTACTTAAAACTAAAAATAAATGTGTATTACATGAAGATTTGGTTGACAATGTCTGTACTAATGAATCTGCATCGTGGCTTACGGTACCATTTATTCCTCTTCACACAGAGAAATTTAAACGGCTCAACAGTAACGACATCAGGGTGTCATTTCGTAGTCCTAATAAAATAGGAAAATATATTAAG